TTTTTCAAAGTGATGCTACCTGGACATCGCATATACAATTAATTCATGAAAAAGCTACAAAAAGACTAAATATCCTAAGAATGCTTAAGTATAAAGTGAAAAGGTCTTTTAAAAAAACAAGGCAAATTAAGGGTATCTTCTGTCTGGCATTAGAGCGTTTATGGTTATTGTCAACATCAGCAAGGACGAATTCTTCATCAGTTAATTGCTGACGTAAAGAATATTCGAAGAGTGTGTGATGATTTCGGAATTTTCAGGTTTGACCATGCGGAGTTCTCAATTAGTCTTTGTTCATCACGTGACATTTATTTTGTATAAATAGCAAGACTCCGCAGTGATCAAGAGAGTTCGTAGGATGCAGCCAAGGTTAGAAGACGAGTGTCGTGAACAATGTATTCGCGTGTTATATCCCTCGCCTGTTAATTCAGTTTAGAGAGTGGATTTGGAAGGCCGACACAGTTAAGGCCTGCCACAAACTTGGTTGAGCTCCAACATAGAGGCTAGCCATAGTTTGTTGTGTCTCGTCTGCATTGGCTGACCAGTCCGTCCAGGCTGCTATACTCATTGTCCGTCCTGAATAAGGCATCTTACAATGGGTGTAGTGGTTGAAGGGCTATCACATATACTGTCCGTCCTGAATAAGGCATTCTACAGTATATGCGGTAGTCCGAGGGCGACTGGGCATCCTATATAAATGTTAGATCAGGACTCCCCATTTGATTTTGTTGTTTGCCTCCGATTGTTATAGTGATTTACTGTTGATTTTAATTTACCTAGATAAGGTTAGGACATATTTGTATATTTCGGCAGTCCACTAAGATCAGACCAATTATTTCGAATCATTTAATGTTGAACACCCCAAACCCTGGAAATAACCAGGTACGATCCCAGTGATTAATTGTAAATACGTTACAAAAATTTGGTGGCAGCGTCGGGATTTGGGGTTGCATTCAATCATTAAAATTTATAATTGTATATATTTGTCTTGGTTGATCTTAGTTGATTTTATAATTGTAAATTATTAATATGTCTGAGAGCGACATTGTGGATGCGGAGATGACTGCATTGGAGCAGGAGCTAAGCAAGCTTCAGGCCAGTATAAATAAAGAAAGAGCAAAGTCGGCCGCCAGAGATTCAGGATTACATGAAAGTAGGCGGACTACCATAGATTTAGGTGAGGGCGTAAGACCTAAAACAAATAGGACGACCACCCTACCAAGTATATATGCTAGGCCTTACAACCTTAGCGAAGTGAGAAGAGCTGATGATGGCGAGCCAGATAGGTTTTCCGTTAGGAGCACGCCATACCATGCTAACACATCCAGGGATGATTTTCCCTTGTTAAATCAGACTGACATATCAAATAACTTTGGTTCTACCAAGTTGTGAATAGTTTTATATATAGTGATTTAAAAAAAAAAGAGAGAATAGAAATCTTTTGTACATCTTTCAATTTGTTATCTGTTTGTTAATAATCATTTAGTTTTTAAGTTGTACATGCGGGGCGCATGTCATCGGAGGCATGGGTAGTGTGATGATTTCGGAATTTTCAGGTTTGACCATGCGGAGTTCTCAATTAGTCTTTGTTCATCACGTGACATTTATTTTGTATAAATAGCAAGACTCCGCAGTGATCAAGAGAGTTCGTAGGATGCAGCCAAGGTTAGAAGACAAGTGTCGTGAACAATGTATTCGCGTGTTATATCCCTCGCCTGTTAATTCAGTTTAGAGAGTGGATTTGGAAGGCCGACACAGTTAAGGCCTGCCACAAACTTGGTTGAGCTCCAACATAGAGGCTAGCCATAGTTTGTTGTGCCTCGTCTGCATTGGCTGACCAGTCCGTCCAGGCTGCTATACTCATTGTCCGTCCTGAATAAGGCATCTTACAATGGGTGTAGTGGTTGAAGGGCTATCACATATACTGTCCGTCCTGAATAAGGCATTCTACAGTATATGCGGTAGTCCGAGGGCGACTGGGCATCCTATATAAATGTTAGATCAGGACTCCCCATTTGATTTTGTTGTTTGCCTCCGATTGTTATAGTGATTTACTGTTGATTTTAATTTACCTAGATAAGGTTAGGACATATTTGTATATTTCGGCAGTCCACTAAGATCAGACCAATTATTTCGAATCATTTAATGTTGAACACCCCAAACCCTGGAAATAACCAGGTACGATCCCAGTGATTAATTGTAAATACGTTACAAGTGTTTATATAAGTTTATTTTATCTAATATTTTCATAATTAAAGCTGAACTTTATTGACGGTCATCAAGATTACGCGTTATTTCCACAATGCTGCATAAAGTATTCCTACGCTGTACAAAATCAACGGATTGTATGGAGGCTTCAAAGAGAAATAATTTTTAAAATTTCGTAATGGGAATTATTAGATGTAAACGCTCTTTTCTTTCAGAATTTACCGATGCGCTAATTCATGCCTTTGTACTTACAAATTTACAAAAAAAAAACTATTCCTATTATAATAATCATGCTAAAAAATGACCCACAATTACTTTTTTGTTTGTGACCCCATAAATAGTTTGAATCGAAACATAATAAAAATGCCAATTATACATGTTATTATCCAATTAATGTTTTGATCATTTTCTTGATAAAAACAAAACAATGTTAATTCCGATTAATATAAAAGTATCTGTAAAATACATGAAAGCGGGGAAAGGGTCAGATCACAATAGGGATAAAAGTTTTACATGTGAATATTTAGTTTAAAATTTTGCTAATAAAAACAACAGGGCCAAAACTATGGTGAGTTCTTTGGCCAATAAGCCTCTTGTTATAATATGCAGATGATAATTGTATACCATTTTCATTCTCCATCTTCCATGTTGGATAAGACAAGCTAATCCAGTTGTATATTCTTCTACATTTTTCACAAGAGATTGATTCGCCATGAAAATATAAAAATTATTTTATACATAAAGGATCATAAATATTAAAGAAATGAAAGTATCCTGTTCTATTATATTTGACTGGGTAATCAAGATGTTTTTTTTACTAGAAGGTTCTGCCTTATTTTATGTTATTGTATATCATCTTGAAGAAGCAGAAACAAAGAGTGCACAGAATTTGTGTAACAACCACTATAAGTAAATTAAGGAGAAACACGATATAAAGATTTCAAGAAATCAACTAACTCAATAATTATACAGACTGGAAGCAAACATGTCACTCGGAAAAATAGCATTCCAGTCAAAAATTTTAAATAAACGGAACAAAAACTATAAATAAAATTGTGCAAAGAAAACAATTAAAAATTTCATTTTTACTGGAGAATAAGCAAATCTTTTTACCACAAGAAAAGTAGAAATGCAACCTATTTGGGAGTTAGGATGGAATTCAATTAGGTCCGAACTAATTCCGTTTTCAAACTACATATAAATGACTTCAGCTTTTCTATCATCAATTTTTCTAATATAGTAATATTCAAGTATATCCTGCTTTAGGGTTTATTATTTCAAATTTATTCCATATTAATAGATGATTCTGTACAAGAACGGATTTGAAATCGAGGTAAACTACAAACAAAGACGTTGGAATTATAGGGATTTCAACATACTCATTCGTAAATTAGGACTCTTTAATGAAAATAGTTCTTAAACAAGAAAACAGGATACTTTAAATAAGAAACTGATCTTTCTTCATCTAGTTTCATAAGTAAATATATTTAATTTGTTTGGAGAAGAAATAAGTTAAGGGAATTAAATCAAATATATAATAACACAGAGAGCATGTATCCCAACGTTGACATTAGATGAAGTTAGCTTGATTCAAGAAAGATTTAAACATGTGTTCTAAGTTGATAAGTTTATATTTAGCAGTTCAATGATATTTTCTTGGTTTAATAGGGGATATCAGGTTTAGATATGTTAAAAACATACACAAATAGCACAGGACGCGCAAAGCCAGCACTAATCGGTATTTGTGTTTCTAACAAGATAATCAAAGTACTGAGAGTACTGATAGGCGGAAGCATGTTTGCAGGTTCTCATGTGCAAATCTTTAATGACATATTTGAAGCATAATCTTTTTTAAAGGGGGGGGGGGATGATAAATATTTTGATGGATTGTAGTATTGAAACCAAGGAACAAGATAAACAATATGTCTCGGTTTTGATGCGGATACATGAGAATAAGTCACGTCAATAGCAATATGAACATTTTAACATTTATTATACCCCCGCTTGAAAAGAGGGAGGGTATATACAAATCGCGATGTCCGTCTGTCTGTTACGCTTTGGGGTACTCATATCTTATCCGCAATTCCTCTTATACCACTGAGTGAAATTTAATGAAACCTTCACAGAATCTTTATTACATATTGCCATTGTGCACCTCCTCTTTTACTTTTTGATCTGACACATATTTTGGGTTTCCCGGCCACAGCAAAACATGGACTTTTCCATTATAATCATATGGGAGGCGGGGGTATCATTTAGTCAGTTCATTGCTCACAGTACCTCTTGTTTTTGTCAAGTATAACAAGTTAAAATTAAAATGCAAGTTGCAATACATAAAATTTGTAAGATATGGTTTTGGGGAACAAGAAATGGAAAATTATAAAATTTCACACAAAAATGAGAACTAATGAGTAATAAAAATCAATAAATATCACAACTGCTTTTGGGTTTTGTATGTGTACATGTATTAAGTTTTAGTACCAATGAAACAAAGTCTTGTTACAAAACAGCAAATTATATAAGGAATACAACATACAGAGAAGACCTTACATAGATTTACAATGTGCTTGTGGTTTTATGAATTGTTTTCATTCAATACCTGTATGGCCCAGGTAGAACAAATCACACAAGTCTCTAATGCTGATGACAGGTGAACACTGTGTCATGATGTCCACAATAATTGGAATATTTTTTCAGGAGAGCTTCTACCATGGCAGGTCCTTGAATACCAGACAGTTTTATTTTTATTCCTGTGGTAAATGTGTCTTTGATGATTGTATTAAAATATTGGTATATACATCCCAATATCAGTGGTGATTTCTTTTCTGGAGATTATCTACACGATTCCCTTCACAACTGTCTCTTGGCAGAATTTTCTACAAAGTGTATAATTGAAAAAAAAAATTAAGAATATCTCACAATGTTTATTTAACAAAAATTATTTCACATTATATATCTGACTTTCAATAAATGAAATCAAGGACTTCAAATAACCTTTTATGATATACCGGTTATTTTAATATATTTTCTAGGGAAGTCAACTTTACCGGGTACTCGATCCAAGGTCCAAGTATCAATACTAAAAAAAAGTTACTCGTTTACTCGGATGTATATTATTTCTTTTTACAAGGTACACATTTTTATCAGAAACTTATCAATTATAACTAAAACATGCAAATGGTAATTAGCATGTCTTCATCTACACCTAGCTGTAAAACACCCGTTATCGCCTTGATCTACATTCATTCATTCAGTGAAATCTGACATGCAAAGAAATTAATGCCACTATACCCACTTCAAGAGTGAAGTGGGTATTGTGTAGTAAGTTTAGTGTAAATATACTGGAAACAACTAACAAATGAAATAATATAAGACTAGCGATCCTGACCAACAACATCTGCCCCCTCTCTTTCGCTAGTTATATAACCTACATGTGTACACAGCAGTTTTTCAAATAGATCCAATTAAAACAACCTTTTGTAATTTTGGGTGTATTGTGCATTTGTGTTTTATTTGATAACTAATTTTAGTACCAAAAATTATTTCCAATGGAATTCATAATTATCTGTACATGTAATGAAAAAGTCAGATATCGAGTAAGCGATTATTAAACATGATAAAATTAATATTGACTGGTTTGACTTCTCTAATATTTTTTGTATTTGTTTTCTCTTTCAAAAGCCTACTATTATAAGTAATCATGTATTTGCATGTATTTAAAAAAAATGAAAAGAAAATAAGTCAACAAAAATTAGAAAAGTCAAAATATACTTTCAAAAATAGTATTCGGTTCATGATCAGTTTTGCCATCATAACAAGATGATTTGTTATGCTATAAAAAATATGTATCACAAGTTCTGAAAATTTTTTCCACTTATCTAGAAATATAATAAATTGATGTACTCACCTTCAGAAAAGTGTTTCTGGTTGTGCATGTTGTGCTGAGTTGAGTTTTCTTCTGCCATTTAGAGGTGGCACAGGGCAAATCCACAATGCAATCTTAATTATATCCCCTTTCTGTTAGCTGCCTCCGTAGCAGGGACACATCTATTCAAAACACAATGTACGTAGTTCTTATGCTTGCGTTTTAATTTCTGTCCAGATTTTACAGTTTTGGCCCATCCTTCAACATACATGTATTAACATTAAATGAGAAAGGATATATAAATGTATACACAAACTCGGCATGATAGTTCCTCAAATAACTTCTCCCAGACATGTAATCATGGTAATTAGAGTACCAGTTCGTTCGATAAGACCCGACCATAACAGCTATCATAGGGAGGCAACATTTTCAGGTTAAAACAATCAAAGATAAGGGTGACAATAAAAGATACTAGGCTAATCACACAGCGTGAGTTACCTTATTTATTTTGAAGAGAAGGCCTGTCACTTCCAGTCAATCATTGTAAATCATTTGTGCTCCACGTGGGTTTGTTGACAATAATTTCACGCTGAATCGTCTATATGTTAGATTATTACGCGAATGTAGTACACAATTGATAAAAGGAGTTACATACCTCTTTTCTTCTATTTCATACAAGATTATTGAAAGATAAGCTCCTCAGTAGCTATGTACCTGTCATTAGTTCTTAAACATAATTACCTACTTGAACTAGTTTGTCCCTCGTAATGTTTCTAAAGATCGCTTCAGTACCCCGTGCTAATCAAATGTTGAACCCGATTTGTTTATGTTTTAGACATACAGAGTTGTCGTTCGTTCTTCTCTCAAACGTGAAACGTAACAAAGTAACTATTCGTTCTATTATTAGGCTATTATTTTTATTGGACTTTTTAAATTAATCAAAATAAATTGTTAAAATAAATTCGCCATAACACACGCCTTTTGATTTGATAATAACGATAAAGATTGGGAAGGGGTCAAATATGATTAAGCGGGTTGTATGCCCTTAGTTTAAGATACATCCGTTTGGAGTACCATGAAGCGGGGCAAACATCTTGAGAGGTCGAAAGGTCAACAAAGCATGCAAAAGTAAAAGGCGGCTTCCGCCTAAAAAGGTACAATTTTAAGTGGCTATTCAACAGGGAAAGAAATGATACACTCAGATATGATATTCCTAAAATTGATATCATTGGATTTAGCTATTGTACTGTAATCCACAGACTTTTGCCCTTGAAAGTAGCAAAAAGGGTGATATCATGACCTTGCATAGCATTGTTAAAGCTGAAAAAGAGGCGAATCCTAACTTATATGGATAATAATTTATGTGGGAATCTGTCAAAAGATATATCTTCAAAATGATCTAGTATTTTTGAGTTCGCAAAATTCGAGTATTTCGGATTTATGAAATATAAAGATTTCATTTTAAATATGACATTTACGAACTCAAAAACCCTAAAACATTACAATTCTGTAGTTTGAGCATAAAATACGGATTCTCAACAATTCCACAGGTTTTACATCTATCCTCGGAAATGTAAGCGTCCTCGTCTACTAATAACACCTGCTTTTAGTCCCTTGCAATGATCAGATAGACTACGATGGCCGATATCAGTCTGTCTAAAATTAAATAATTCTACCTATAATTTTGTCTTTTTATATTTTTGTACATGTACAGATTCCAAGAAATGTATATGTACAAAAAGACAAAATTAAAGGCCGTGTTAACTATACTGAAAGGAAAAAGAAACGCAGGGTAGCATAATATTCGATAATATTTTGACCGCATGACCGAAAATTACGAAAATTGGTCAGATGAGAAATTTAGTTACTATGCACCAAAATCAGTGTTCAGAATTACTCAACCGTGAAAAGTGTGACGTCACGTAGGAAAAACACTAAAAAGTCCAAAACACGTGCAATTTGATAATGGCGAGTTTGTCAACAAATCTTGTTGCACCATTTGATGCACCTGAGGTATACACATCGTTTTTCAATATTTAGAGACGTTATGAATTTCTTGCAATCTTGGTACAGTTTACGGAAGTTCCGTGGGGTCTGGTTTTCGAATTTCCCATATAAAGAAAATGGCAACAACGGGTAACTATGCAGTTTCTTGTAAATTTCCCCCCATAAAACTTGTTACCCGTTGTCAGAGAAGGCCTGGAATTGTTTTCAATCAACCGTGACGATGACGTTAATGCGAAACAGAGTCATGTTACGAGCGATTTATTCGTCCTGCCATCTCTTAAATCGCCACCTTACTACCACAAAAACCGCCATTTATACAGTAGACTATTGTAATCATTACATTCACATGAAAAATGAAAGGAATCAATTCTGCAATTTGGTTTTTTGAGCCGGTCAACTTACTGTTGTGTTCCTCTCACTGGCGCATGCGCGCGCCGTTTCAGTAATTTTTTGGCGTGGTAACCCATGCCCAATATAGCCAGGGTTTGAAAGATAAACACTTTGATGAATTCCATTCAAAGGAGAAATAAGGCTCTGACAGATTAGCGGAAGAGACATTGAAGATAATGAGAGTTTTCGTTTTCAGTTTCGGGGGGTATCGTCATATGAGCTTCAATAACTCATTAATTATTAAACAAAATCAAATGGGATTTTGGTTATATCTTTTTGAAAGATGGTTTTAAAAGTTAGATAGGAATACTGAAAAAGATTAAAAGAAAAATAAATTTAATTCACCTCAGAAGTTTACCCTGCGTTTCTTTTTCCTTTCAGTATATTTATAGTTTTGTACATGTACACATTTCAAAAATGACGACGAAATTATAGGACGTGTTAACTTTTTATATTTTTGTACATGTACAAATTTCAAGATATGTACACGTACAAATGACAAAATTATAGGTTGTGTAATTTTATTTAAGACTGGCTGATATCGGCCATCGTAGATAGACAGAGAAGTCTGTAGTAAAATAAAGTTAAAAACAAAGGCCTTACAATTTGAATGAAGTATGTTTGTCAAAATAAAAGCGAAGATAGTTATCATTTTCTTACAATTTCAGTATAATGACAATTTTTAATAACAAAATACTGATATGTATGGTGGCATATTTATGCTATCCAAATAATTTTTTGTCAACATAGCATATCATGGCAAGTTAAGATAAATAAAGTATAAGTCACATTATCCAACGATGGGGTATACGATGAGAAACCGATGCGTTTTTTGATGAAAATGGCGTGGTTGCCGGCCGGGCACCACTAGTGATCGGACGGTGACTGAGTCTTTTTTCGCGAATCGGTGGGGTCATCGGTAGGAAATAATTCGTAGTTAAAATTCAGCGATGTCTCCAACGATGCCTCACATCGCTCCTTATCGGCAACCTATCATTAACACATCTTTCAAGAATCAGCCGATGTATGGCCGAGCATCGTCCAATATCCGTTGAATCTGAGGTCATCGGGGGGTTGAGTGGTGTTTAACAGATAACGACCGATCATCGGTCGATGTTCTACCAAACATTGGCCCGTAGTCAGCCGATGTACGAACGATGTTCACCAATGTATGAGCGATGTAATATACATCGGCCGATTATCCTGGAACATCGTTTTATGCTTAGCAATGCATCGCTGAACCTTTGTAAATCCGACCGGCAACCACGCCATTTTTCTCATAAAACGCATTGGTTGGCCATCGTATGCACATCGCTGGATAATGTGACTGATACTTTAAGGACTACTGGGCCGATGTGGACCGATGTTGGGGCATCGTTAACACTACGGATTACTACCGATTACCACCGGTCTACGGCTACCGGCCGGGAAATGTGACCTAGGCATAACTCGTCAAGTGATGATAACTTTCTGGTTTGTCGACAAACGCCGACTTTATATCTTCTCAGGTCAAGATAAGCTATCACATTTTGTTGCAATAGCTATCTTGACATGTCGAGATAACTTTAAGTCGCAATACAAGATAAATTATTTCTTTTTATCGAGAAAAAACATGATAGCTTATCTTGACTGGACAAAATAAAAGTCGGTGTTTGGCGACAAATTTGAAAGTTTTCATCACTTGACGAGATAGCTATCTTGGCTTGATATGATAAATTATGTTGACAAAAAATCATATGCATGGATGGCATAAATATGCCACCATAGATGTGCTCTACGTAATACCTGCAACATCAACCTATCTTTTAGTGGCCTATCTCGGTTTACAAGTTGATTGTAACCAGAACACGTCCATAGGTATTGAATAAGCTGGGGCATGTAGGAATCGTTAGAAGTGGGATCTCAAACGTCCATTAAAATTCCTTGTAGTAGAGCAAATATGGACTTTTAAAACATCAGAGATTGAATCAGGTGCCATGGATGAGTAGACATCCCCTACCACCGACTGGTTACACCCGCCGTGTGCTCCTTTTTAATGATCGGAAAATAACACATAAAAATATATTGCTTTTGGTTTAATTGCTTAATGAGAGATTTTAACATAAGGGGTGTTAAGAAATATCAGCAGTCTCGTTTCAAGTCTCATTTCGTAAGTTCCATGGTCGATAAAATAACCGAATCAACAAATACAATACATCATTAAATGAAATGCTAACTGACCATTTTCATCTAATTGTTAGCCCATCTTTTACACTCTGAATTGTTGACGCATTTTTTCGCTACTTCCCGACCATGAAAAAGAAGCACACAACAGGTGGCAGGAAATGTTCAATTTTCCATGGCACATGATACCGTCTCTAGTGTCTTAGAGGTCCGTGTTTGCTCTGCTCCAAAATTTTTATCGTTTCAATGAATTTTCATCTTGAATATTGTTTGTTATCTACATAATTTTATTTCTCTGTAACTTACAATAACATCAATTATTATTACATGTGTTTTCACATATGCATCACTGTCTTTTTTTCATTGTTTGTAAAAATGATGCATCTTATATCATAAATTTTATTATCACAGTCGGAGTCAGTGCAGTATACAGACAAACACAAATAAACGTAACACACAAATGCTATCATAACAATGCTGCCATAACAATTTACTCATTGGACTGGGAGGATTATTTCAAAGCAAACTAGGTACTGTGAGCAATGAGCTCACTAAATGATACCCCCGCCTCCCATATGAAAATAATAGCAGCGTTCATATGGGAAACCTAAAATATGTGTCTGTAAAAAGTAAAATAGGAGGTACACTGTAGCACAATGACATTATGTAATAAAGATTATCTGAAAGTCTCATCACATTTCATTCAGTGGTATAAGAGGAGTGGCATATAAGAGGAGTTGCGGATAAGACATGGAGGGTTCTCCATCATTTGAAATGTTACTGTGTTGCAAAGTTGACGCGAAGAACTAGGGCCTAAAATTCGCGGTATTTTCGCGATCGAATTCGCAAATGAAACACTATTTGTGAAAGTTACAAAATAATACATGCACACACTTATTTAAAAATCGCTTATTAGTTACACAAATGCCATGGTCGTAAATATTGATAAATGTAAAAAACACGTTCTGAAAAGCAGAGGAAATTCTGACTGAAACGGTCGTACTACTTAACATTTCTGAAAGTAAAATTGCCGTGATAATTATTTATCAGTTTTCTTGATCGAGTTATTGCATTACATAAAAAAAGTAACTTCAGAACAGTAAAA